AGAGAGAGGGTGGATTTAGGGAGGAAGGAGATGAGAAAGTAAAAGTGAAGCACGACATGTATCTAGTAAGTGCTTATAGTATAGGTATAGTGTAAAATGTGCATGTCTTGGGTGTTCATGCATGTGTCTGTGTGTTTGTTTGTTTGTTTGCTTGCTTGTTTGTTTATTTGTTTATTTGTGTGTAGACAGAGGGGGGGGGGTATGAGGGAATGAAACAGATAAGAGAACTAAGAATGAGAGGCAAGGACATACTAACATATTCACAGAGAGAGAGAGGGGGGTCACACACACACACACACACACACACACACACACAGAGAGAGAGAGAGAGAGAGAGAGAGAGAGAGAGAGAGAGAGAGAGAGAGAGAGAGAGAGACCTAAGGATATTACATACCCTGACCCAGTAATCCGGTTGTCCTCCCCCATATTTTCAAGCTGTCGCTTACGATGTAGGAATTCAGGCATTTTTCTATGTCTTCCCTTCTGAAGACGAACACTTTTGTGGCGTATCCTCTTGGTTTATCAGTGATTTCCTCACTCCAAGTTGGTTTTAGTCAAAAGTATGATTGGCCAAAATTCTAAATGATCCAAATCGTGTGGATTGGGGTGTTGAAACACATAAATCATTTTTAAAAATATATAATAAACTCTCACTAAAATAAACAAAAAATTGCAAATACTAACGTAGCCCTAAATAAATGTGTAAAGTTGTGTGTGTTGCTGTGTTCTCCAAATTCAAGTATTCTCCTCTGCATGCATAGGCCTACTTAATAAATAAACTCTCACTAAAATAATCATAAAATGGAAAATACTGACGTAGGCCTACATAAATGTGTAACCTGTGTGTGTGTGTGTGTGTGTGTGTGTGTGTGTGTGTGTGTGTGTGTGTGTTTTGTGATCCACAGAATACAGTCTTCTCTTCTGCATTCATAGGCCTTCCTAATAAATAAACTCTCACTGAAATAAACATAAAATGGTAAAATATGTTAAAGTATATAAATAAATGTGTAACCTGTGTGTGTGTGTTTCTGTGATCCCCAGATACAAACCTTCTCTTCCTGTACATACTTAATAAATAAACTGTGTGTAACCTGTGTGTGTGGTTTGTGGTCCCCAGATACAAGTGTTCTCTTCCTGTATATACTTAATAAATAAACTGTGTGTAACTTGTGTGTGTGTGTGTGTGTGT